GCAAATCTGTAACTCTGTCTTTCTGTTCCATAAATGATTTAAGATCCTTGGATTTTAATTTATTTTCTTTCTTCACAGTTTAAAGATTCAGGAACAATGGCAGGGACTAAAAATCAGATGATTAATTTCATAGAAAATCAAAAGATTTCCATTTTCTTTCATGGCCAGGTTAATGCAGACTGTAATTGAGCCAGATTCCAAAGGCTATAGCAAGGCATTGGTCTGGAAGTTTTGCCAAAAAAAATAAAAGGGTGTAATTTCAGACATGATCTCCAGAATCTTGGTCCCAGAAGAATATTCTGACTGCTGAACTGAAGCTTTAATACGTTTTACCTCTTCTCCTTTGATGCAGTGAAGCTGGAAAATACTTGGGGAAGTAGAAAATGTCTGGGTCCAGATTTTATCATAAAAATCTTTGCAAACAGAGATTATCAGCATAGCTCTACTTTGTCATAAATTATGACAGCTACTCTTTAAGGTACCTTTGAAAACTCATCACTGTAAGAGTGCTTCCCTACACGGCACAGTTTGCATCTTTTTATTGAAGCATCTCCTCTTGCTCCACCATGTATCTATCCATTGACACACAACCTGTGGGCATCAGCAGCCTTTTTTTGTAGCTGTGACTCCCTGAGGTTAATAACATCTGGCCTTCCTATTTTGCTTTCCACCACCTTCAACCCTGGGATTCCTGTTGTCCTGCTACAAATTAACAAACTAGCGTGGTTATGATCTTATTCTACTGAACTGTTGTCAACTTTATTTTCATGTAGTTACCCCTGGTTACATAAATCTTTTTTTTTTTTTTTTCTTCCAGATAGATTTCTATTAATAAATCTTCTGCTCCTTTTGGGGAAAACCAAACAGATGGGATTTATTTTTTAATCATTAAAATGTTATTGAATTTTCATAACAAATAATTGCCTTGTATTTAAGCAGCATTGGAGCAAAAAGCAGGTACACATATGTTACATCTGTCAGACAGAACAACAGCGTATTAAGTCCAGATTTACTTGCAGAGTCACACTACAGACACACATTACTTAAACTAATGGGTATTGGGAGTGCTTTCAAAATACTAGACTAGAAGCAGTTAAGCTTGGAAAATGAGAATAAGAATAGGACCAGGAAGCCTCACTGTATTCCATGTTAAATAGTGATGCTTCATTTTCCTTTTACAGAAGCATTCTGCAGATAGCAACGAGCTTAACTTCCCAGCTATGAACTTTTATGAGGTTGCAAAAATTGAAACTGCAAAGTCTAGCTTCACCAAGGAACCAAAAAAAAAAAAAAAAAAGCCAAGAGCTGGGAACCTACTCTTGATAATAATCTTGACCAAATTATGATGGAATAGAAAAGGAGAAGAATATGACTTCCCATAAAGGACCTTGCTGGAGGGATGGAAAAGAACTCTCAAATCTCACACCTTTCACAATAAGTGTGCTACACTGTGACATAACCCAACCTCCTCTACCTCTCCAGTCCTGGAAATTTAATTTAACTTATGGAAATTTTATTTAACTTATGGAAATTTTATTTCATTTATGGAAATTTTTAACTTGGAAGTAGCATATCTTGAATCAGAAGTGAAATGATGGTATGTAATGAGCCTATCTTACCCAAAGGGTCATTGGAGTAATGAAAGTTCTTTGGCTTCTTGAAAAGAAGCCCAGTTGAAACACTCCTTTGAATGGAAAGTACATATGAGACTCCAGTGGGTGAGCACACAGAAGGAGTTTCCAGTCTGAGTATCCCTGGCAATAAGTTGTACCAGCTGTCAGCAGGACCTGGAGCTGAAAGAGGCTGCCAAGAGAGGTTGTCGATGCCCTATCCCTGGAGGTGTTCAAGGCCAGATTGGATGGGGCCCTGGGCAGCCTGGTCTAGCATTAAATGTGGAGGTTAGTAGCCCTGCATGTGGCAGGGGGTTGGAGATTCATGATCGTTGAGATCCCTTCCAATCCGGGTCATTCTGCGATTCTGTGACCTTAGACACACAGCCTTTATTTGCAGGTGAAATTCATCGCATTTGAAAACAGCATCTATGTTATGTTAACTATGCCAACACAAAGTCATCTGTGAGATTTACATTGCAGATCACCCCAGGAACTGTACCAACAAGATATATCTGGGGTAGATTTTCTTTTGAGATGTTAGGTTGTAGACATAGACGTGGACGTAGACACAGGTGCAGATGTTGATGTTGATGTAGATGGCTCTGCTTATAGCATAGAATTCATTTGTGTAAAAGTAAAATGAAGCTGGCATCAGCTTTCAGTTTGGAAACTTTAGATCAAACCTACAAAGGGCTGTGATGGATTTGTTAGGGTCCAAGCCTGGTAGTTCTGAAGTTCAAAATAGACATTAAGGAAGCAGAGGATACTGCCATGAAGCATGAGGATATCAAACAATCATTTGAGTTGGAACTGATGGGATTGTATGTGCAGCTCTGATCCTTTCTAATGGGGAGGCAAAGGGAGGTAGAGGAGGCTCTGAAATGAGACTTTATGAAAGAGAAGGTTCTTCCTGGTAGAGTCTCTGTTGGTGACTGGAGAGACCTCCATTGGGCATAACACCAAGTTTGCTAAGACTCTGGATCATTTCTAAAAACATGTAGGAGTCCTTCAGTAATGGATGAAGGAGAAGCAATTATCTCCAGCTAAAAAAAGACAGAGGGTAACTAAGGTTACATCCAAGCTTTATGGTGAATTGTTTCAAAGCAGTGTATAAATTTTGCTATGTTATTAGCAGAATTCAAGTTTTAGTTTGAATTATTACAGATTCAGGAAAGGGGAATCCTTTTGTTTCCAGCTATTTCCTACCTGTGTCAGGCTCTCCATTTTACTTAGACAGCACAGCATTAATCCTGCTGAAGTTATGGCCTGAGTTCAGCAGTACCTCAGTTCTGGGTTTATGTTAGCTGATTGGGATTTTTCCCTCCAGAAGAGTCATTCATACTTGTCTATGTGGAAACAGAATGGTCTCTGTGCTGTAAATGTCTGGATGTGCTTTGCTTGGCATCAAGTCTGATGCTAATAACTCTGAGCTGGACTCTTCTTCTTCAGTTCAAAGAGTCACTGCTTAAACAGTAGCTTCTGTTGGCTCTAATATTATGTGCCCCAGATGTAAGAGATGGATAAAAACACAGTGGGGTTGGATGAATCACCGCCTTTCATTGTGGAAGCTGTTTGAAGAGAGGTGGAAAATGCCTTTGTTTGGTACAGGCAGCAAGGTTTTACTCACTGTGCATCCTCTGGCTGAACTAATGAATGAAACAGCCAGAAGTCAATTAAGTCACTACCCAGAGCCCTGCCATGAGTTGCCCCTGCAGTGAGTTGGACTTCGACTGCCTCTGGGCTGTTCTGAAAAGCTGTACATTGTTGTCAGAGAAAGCAGATATTCACATCGTAGTATAATTGGGATGGCAGTCAGTGAATCTGGTCCATGGGGATATCACATATCTTCTCATGTTTGTACATGAAAGGATCTTTGCAGCTGGATCTCTCAAACTGTTCCCATTTGTGTCTTGCAAACAAAGATGTTGACGCTACCCAAGAGATGCTGCTGGACACTGGGGTGTCCATCCTCCTTGTAATGAGTAATAGTGCTGCCCTGGGAAGCCAATACATCAATAGCATCTCCCCTGGCAGAAGGGAGAACAATTTAGAAAGGAATTTGGTCTGCATAGTCAAAAGTAGGATGCAGTATCAGCATAGTACAGATGATGGCAGCAAAGTATAAAAGTAAAACAGGTGAGAAAATATCAATTATGTTTAATAGGGAGCAGAGAAACTTATTTATGTAAGTTTCTGGGAAGCTGATCTTTGGGATCCTTGATGATAGGAAGTGAGGCTTTATCTATATGTCTTCCTGCAGGAAAGACATTCCCTTCATTACAATAGTATCTGCTAGAAAAATATTTGCTTACAACAGTGGTTCACCATGGGTATAGTGGACGTCAGAGTAATTTTCCCCATGCTAATTAATGCAGGGACAATAAGCTCCCTATGGAACTAATTGTCACTTTCTTTTCTGTTGTGACTTTCAAAACCTTCTTCTTTTCAGCAGAGCTGCAGCTTTGGGAATGCATTTGAGAGCACTGTGAATTTATTTATTTCTGGACAGCAAAGTGAATTGGTGTGATTTCTTTCCTGGGTCATTTTCCCCTGATACTGTCTTTTAAATTGTGGTTGCTGCTTCCTTAGGGGGTAGTATATAACTGCAAAGGTAAATGTGTCCATGTCAAGGGACCTGAGCAGTAAGTCTGGCAGAAATGCACATCAGTGTGTACACAGAGGAACTTGTTTCTTGTACATTTGATGAGGAGCAGAGGCTGATATATCCCCATTGCATCATTATGAAGAGCTCCTGAAAGTCCACAGTCCGTGCCTATGAATAACTGTCCCTTGTTTCCACAATCTCTAATAACCAGGTGAGTGGAAGATTTCCCACCCCTCTAAGACCCTGTCACTTTTTCATCACTTGTAGAATGGCTGATGATGTTACCTTGTGTCTGGATCTTCTATTCAGAACCCTATGCTACGGTATAGGCAGAATTCCTATTTCTTTGCAATTAACTCTGTTCCTCCACCTGCACAGATTGCCTAAACTGTTTCCCAGGCATGCAGAGCCTTTTCATAGAATCATCTGGATTGGAAAAAACCTCTAAGATCAAGTCCAACTGCCATCCCATCCCCACCATGACCACTAACCAAGTCTCCAAGTACTACAACTAGCCTTTTCTTGAACAGCTCCAGGGATGGTGAATTCAGCACTTTGCTGGACAGCCTATTCCAATGCATTACCACTCTTTGAAAATATTTTTTTTTTCCTAATATCCAACCTTCTAGAGCAGTCAGTCCTAGGACAAAATGTATTCCTATGGCTCAGCAGCAAGGACCAGCTTCCCCAGTTCCACCAACAAATGTATGAAGTAGCCCTGGAGCTGTCAAGTCACTTTGCATCTTTATGATGTAGCTTGCTCAGTGCCTGGCAACCATAATAGGTGCTAAGAGCTGCAGTGAAAGGGCTGCTTAAATTGACAGCTGACAACATAATCCTGCCTTCTTGTGTCTGTCTCTGTCTGTATAGTACATTTTGCCAAGGGTGTGACTTTTGAGCAAGACCATTGTTTGGAGGCAAAGCCAGGTAAAAGGCAAGGAGCCAGTGAAACTCCTGCTAGAACAGTGGCTGGATTGGCTTTCTTTTTGCCAAGGAAAATATTCAAGTGATTGCAGGAAAGGAGAATAGGCAGATGTGTAAAATCCTTAGGTAAAATATGAGATGGACAGTGAAAGGCACAGAAGTATTTCAGGAGATGAGCAAATAACATTTTAGAACTGATGAGTCTTAACCAGTTTTGCACAGGAAGGTGGTCACTGTTTCTGGAGGTCTTCAAGAAAAGGTAGATGTGGCACTGAGGGATATGGTTTAGTGACCTTAGTGTTTTTTTTCAATCTTAACGATTCTATGTTTCTATGATTATGTGATATGCTACTGTAGAACAGCTATGGACCACTCCAAGGATCTCAGAACTCACAGCAATCTAAATGCAATGGGTCAACTTAACATGGGCTTACTCTATAATGATATGAATGCATGTCCCTATTCTCTATTGGCAGCAGCCATTGAGTGAACCTCACCTCTTACACCTCTTCTTAGAAGAATATAGCCCTGGGCTTCAAACTGGTCTTGATTACCTTGTTGATTTTGAGCCAGAAAGTACAGATGGAGTCAGAGCAACTTTCCAAGAGCCCTGTGGATTCCTCATGGAAGAAGCAATGAGGATGCCCAGTGGCACTGCCTCACAGTGATGGAAATGGCTAACCAACAAGTGGATGAAGTGTGGAACACACTGGGTTGACTCACTCCAGGAATCTTAGTGCTGGTTCAGGACAGATATAGCCTCTCTGTTTCCATTTCCCACCCAGAAAGCAATGATAGTAATACTTCTCCCAGTCAACAGTGATTAAGTTGTTATCATTTTAAGAGACTGGCTTTTATTTTTTACTGACAGATTCTTGCTTCAGTCCTAGTTGAACCTTTTGAGTTTCTCTGTCCTACAAACACTCATCAGAATGTGTTTATTGAAGATGGATCTGTGTTTATGATTTGAAATTTGCATGGAAGCAGAAACAATAGTTAAATCCAAGGACTCTAAAAATATTGCTTGTATACATTCAGCATTGCTAATGCTCCAGAGCTGTAAAGAAAACTCCCTATCTATGCAAAGGCACTAATTTCTGTATTATTAAAGGAGTAAAGTACATTGCAGAGATTTTATCCAAGCTTTTAGGAAAGATAAGAAAAAAGTCTCAACTCCTTCTAATTTCTATGACATTGAGAAAGCAGATCTATGGAGGCAGAGAGAAAAATGCCTGCTATAAAGTTTTCTGCTTGAAAAGATAACTTTTGTCCTGAAAGTCTTACCCCTTCTCATGTAGGGGAGTTACTTCTAGGGAAAAAAAAAAATCTGTTGGGAATCTCTCAGTTTGAAATGATCCATCTCTGGAGTGAGTATCCCTGATCTATAAGGGATGGAGACATCATTGGCCACCCTAGAAGTACACTTTTATGTCACTGATCAGTATCATTAGCAGAGATTTAACTCTCAGCAGATCACAAGTGGCACCTTTTACCTACAGTTGCTATAGACTGGATTAGGACTTGCTGATCCTTATGGGTCCATTCCAACTTGGGATATTCTTTGACTCTCAGGATATTCTATGACTGGAATCACTCACGAGCATTCAATTCACCCCAAATATTTATTTATTTCATGCTTTGTCACAAAAAAGGATGAGCTGAAGAATCAGTGTGTTACAGAGATCTGATGGATCGCTGAGAGTTTATGGAATGTCATTTGAAATAACTCATAGCAAATAGGTATTTATCTGTTTCTGTAGCATAGTAGAAATTGCTTACAGGTTATTGCCCTGCTGTAAGGTACAAATGACGAGCATTTAAAAGACATGCAAGCTTCAAATCTGTTAACACACTTCTTCACAGTATTTACTTCTAAAGGAACAAATAAAAAATAAAAACTGTTATGTTTATTTGTTATTTCTGAGGATAATAAATTATTTTTCAAGGAAATGTGAAGAAAGTATGTTCCTGGACAGGTGAGAACTACTCTCCTGTAGTAGAAGCTACACATTTCACTCCTAAAACCTGAAATTGTAGGTACAAATTTTCTCAAAGACTGGCTGTCAAAGGGAGTTGATTGGTTCTAGATCTACAGGGTTTTGCCTTCAGTATTTCCATGAATTCATATACATATAAGAGGAAAAATGAATAGTTTGATGGGAACATTTGGGTACTTTTCTCAGATTTTACAGTTCTAGAAATGTCAAGTAATGTTAAAAAAATGTGGAAGCCTAGGAAAGCAAGATTTCATAGAATCATAGGACCATTTGAATTGGAAGGGAACCTTAAAGGTTATCAAGTTCAACTCCCCTGCAACGAAAAGGGACACCTACATCTCAATCAGGGGGATCAGAGCCCCATCCAGTTTGACCTTGAATGTCTGCAAAGATGAGGCATCCTACATCACTCTGGGCAACCTGTGCCAATGCCTCACCACATTTGTCATAAACAACCCTCTTCTTATATCCAGTCTAAATCACCTCTTAGTTTGATAGCATTTCCTCTTGTTCTATTACAACAGACCCTGCTAAAGAGTCTGTCCCCTTCTTTCTTATAGGCCCCCTTTAGATATGAAAGAATCTATTTTGTAGAAGACAAATGTAATTGAGAATATGATTTTCAAAGACCTGCTCATGGAAATGCCAGTGTTGTGGAAAAGGGTGTGTTAGACCAGGAAAAAGTTTTGCTCAGAGCAGGAATGGAACCCCTTGGCTTTTCTCAGCTCAAAAGAAGTCTTCCCACTCATCCTGCCCATTAACAGGCTTCCTTAAATTCAAAATCCTTTTTTACATCTCCCTAAGTATCAGGAGTTATGAGGGCAGCTACATAGACATGACTAAGGTTGCCTAGGATGTGGGCCAGGGTAGTCTTTATGGGCTTTGTTTGCATTGCACCTAGCATGTAGCTGGAACTGACACATATTATTTCAACTGGAAATAATGCAAAAGGCACAGTGGTAAAATAATCACTAAGTGCAAAGCTAAGCGAAGGCAGATTTAATCTGCAACTTCTTGTTTATTTAGTAATAGTGATATTTACTTACAATTGTATGTAACTTCTGTCTAAATTGGGGACATCCAAAATGTAGAAAAAATTCTACAAATCTCCTCTTTTTAAACAGTGAGCTAAAGTTATCAAGAATTTCATTTTTAGATTGTCAGAGTTCCTATCCTGGAGTGTTTCTGTCTCCTCACAAAACACAGTTGGCCACATCTGTGAAAAGATAATTTTGTACTCCCAGAGAGGTACTATGATGAGTATCAGAGCACATTTCTTTTACACGGTGCCAGTGACAGATGGCATCTCTGAGTGAAAGACTGAAAACCTGTGTTATCTGCATAGGTGTTAAGCTACTATCATAGCGTTCTGTAGAAGTGGCTTTGCTACCGTGGCACAACAATTCCTTATGGTGGGATAGAATCACTAATCTGTACTAGAAGTGGACCAAGACGATAGGTGCCTTGTAGATGCAAGGTGAAGAGACTGCATAGAAACACAGAATGATTAAAGTTGGAAAAGATCATCCAGCCCAACCACCAACCCATCACTACCATGCCCACTAAAACACATCCCTCAGTGCCACATCTCCATGTTTCTTGAACACCTCCAGGGAGAGTGACCCCATCACCTCCCTGGGCAGCCTGTTCCAATACTTCACCACTGTTGCTGAGAAGAAATGTTTCCTAATAGCCGATCTAAATATTGCATATGTCTCAATGTACAGCAGTGCGGGTGAAAGACAAGAGTGGTGGTAGCAGAAAAAGATGGAAGGACATAGAGAGATAGCAAGGAATCTTAGTTAATGTTCTCTGAAACTCCAGTGAAATAATTAGAATGAAGAATTGTTATTCATTTGTAAATTTGTGGTATCTCTTCTTATTGGAAACTGGAAAAGGATCAGAGATTAACTAATAATTGATTTGCAATTGCCAGGACACCTACTTGGGGCATTCTAGGAAAAAAAAGAAAAAGAAAAAAAAGTCATGTTTGGCATTCTCAGACTGAAATGTTTTATTTATTCTGGATCTCTACAGATCCAGGATGAGATGTTTCTTTTTTTAAGTGGAAATGAAGCTGAGCTTCAGCTTGAATTATCCCAGATAAATTTTATTTTAGGTCTCATTGCCTCTAATTTCTCCTGATCTTCACCTAGTTAATACCACTCATGACAGCCTCTCCCTGGGTCACTGTAGCTGCCAATGAAACCTGTGGATTCACATGTGAGCTTTTAAAATGTTAAGCAGTGCAGAAATTAGCCCACCTGGGGTTTGCTACAGAGATATTCCTTGTCATGATGTTTCTGGCCATGTCTCCATCTCTCAAAACATGAAGTGAAGATGGGATTTATTTCATTGTTAGTTTCCTGTTCATTCATTTTCTGTTCATATTAGCTCATTCAAATCCATTCTAATAAGCTTTAATTTTCAAAACCAGCATGAGTGTGTGTTCAAGATATCTGAGTGAAGGGTTCATATCAATTCCTGTTGCTGGTAGCTTTCACAAACCATTACGAAACATCTTTCGATGCAAACATCTTTCGATGCATCTTTTCGAGCAAAACTGCATGTGGCAGGGGGGTTGGAGATTCATGATCCTTGAGGTCCCTTCCAACCCTGGCAATTCTGTGATTCTGTGATCTTGAACTCTCTCACCCTTCTTTAGGACCTATGGAGCCACTGTCCCCTCTTAACAGACCAACTGATTAGGGCAGGGCTGAGTTTGCCATCTTCTCTGACATCAAAGCACTGAGATATCAAAGGGACATAAGTACCTACAGACACAAAGACAACTTTGGAAGAGGCCTCCTTATTTAGCACTCTTTGTTAACAAGGAAAACCCGTGTGAGTTGTGAACCTGCTAACCCAGAATTTTTCTCCAGAGATGATGACCAGGTTCTATGAAGAGATGATGAGTCATTACTTTGAATGGTGAGATAATCCCAAACGTGCACTTTCTGCAAAGGCAAAAGGCAAAGAAGCCTATTGGCCTGCCCTGTGTCCCACCATGCCTGCAGGTCATGAGTGACCATAATATAGATAAGCATATCTGCACAAGATGAGTATAAAATCCCCCTAAACCCATATCCAATATCTTCAAGAAATAAGAGCAGGTGCACGGGAAAGGTTATAGCAACAAACTGAGTATGCAGTGATATATTCCCCTTGAGCACTTTCCTCATGGCTGAATGTCTGTGGTCCAGAATCTTCCAATACAGACATGGAGTTTTTGTCTTTGATAGCCCTGTATTTATAGCCCCTTCTTTCCTCCCCCAGGAAATTATTCAATTACTTTTTAAACTCTTGAAGTCTATGCAACATCCTGTGGCAAGAATTTCACATCTTAACTGTGTGTTGTGTGAAGAAACTGACATCTTGTGCCAGAGGCGATGTCTTTGTGTAATAATTCTGGATGTAATTCTTAGGTCATGGGAGTCACCTATGCTTTCAGTTATAAAGGGAGTATGAGCAGTGCTCAGATCCTCCTCCTTATCTGTTCCTGCTCTTATGCCAGAACTTGGATGCTTAATCATGGATCAAAGTCCTGTTGTGCTCATTGCTGAGCAAACAACAAATGTTTTTTCCCATAGCAGAACAAAAAGGCAGCATTTCTAATGGGCCTCACATCAACGCTGCTCCAAACGCTGCGCAAAATGTTCTGCAACAAAAAAAGAGGATTTGCAGGAAATGCAGGAATCATCCGCTCAGTGTCACCCAGCAGAGTCAGTAATAAACCTTGTGAATTTCCTCTTTACCCATCTTCTCACTCACAAAAAGATCACAGATATGCTGAATAACCATTATGAACCAGTGAGCATCAAGGATAGATCCCTCTAGCCTTCATTGTCCCTGCACTTTCTGCACTATCAGACAATCACTCCCCAGAACATGCAGTTCTTCAGTCTGGGATGCGTTGTTAAAATTCACATTAATAAATGATACTCAATTATAAATAATATATGGATAAATGAAAAATATGAATAAGGAATTATTTGTTTGTCTGCATTCAGATACTCTGAATTGGAAATGCACACATACATATTATTGCTATATGCTAAAATCAGCTCTAGAATCTAGAATGGTGAAATAATCCTGATCCATGCTTCCTGATGTTCACATGGAACCTCAGCAGAAGTCTAGAAGGAAGCTAGGTTCCAGAAATATCTTACTCAAAATCAAACAAAAAATTCAGATAGTCATCAACTGAGGTGAGCTCCTGTCATTTTACTTGGGAATTACCCTTGTTGATGACTATTGATGACTATCTGAAGACCAATCTTTTTAGAGTGGTTTTGAGATAAACAGCTTTCTCCTGTATTCATGCTGCACTTCAGTAGACAGATAAATGTATCACATCAGCTTTGTCCTTGAATTTGTCCCCTCTGCCACCTTGGACTTCGTAAAGAAAAGTCTTAATATTAGGGCTGAATTTTTGTTATTGAATATAACAAACCAGAATGTTTGTTCTGGAAGGCAGCACACTGCTTTGGAGGGGAAAAAAAATGAATTATACAGACTACCTTTGCCAGTTGGCCTTGGAGGCTGAGAACAACTGCTGGCACATTTTATTTATTAGGATGGAAATCACCCCACATATGTACTGGTGTCCTACACAGTGTACCTCTCATGTTGAATCACTGCAAAACTCAGGAGACACCAGTGCTTTTTAGCAGTGGGGGGAATTTGGGGAGGAAACAAAATGGTAGACACTGATGAAATCCCAATGGTTGATGGTCTTCACATTCAGGAGAACTCAGGTCAAAGAGAGTTGACCCATGAATACTGTGATTCTGTGATGAACCTGATTCTGTGATTCTGTGATTCTGTGATGAATACTGTTTGTGTGCCCGATTGGCAGCAAATCTCAAAGGTGCTGATCAAAAGGATTAGCTAAATTGAATGAGAATAGAGAGAGTTTCTTGTGTTTTTCCTCTGCCTTTTAAACATTCTTTTTTGTTTATTGCCAACTTTGAGATTCAACAAACAATATATGTTGCCCAGAGAGCTGGTGGTTGCCCCTTCCCTGGTGACATTCAAGGACAGGCTGGATGGGGTTCTGAGCAACCTAAGCTGTAGGTGTTTCTGTTCATTGCAGGAATGTTGGACCAGATTGCCTTTAAGGGTTCCTTCCAATTCCAATGACTCTATGATTCTATTATTCCACATTTTCTTGCCTCAGTGCATCTGAAACCATAAATAATTTCCCACATGTACAGACTGTTTCTGACATACGTAATTGGAAATAGTCATTAGAGTCTTTGTCCTCCGGTGGATAATTAACCTCTCTCTTAATGACAGGTGAAAATGGTCATTCTTGATTTGAACCGGAAAATTTACTTTGTATTAAAAAAAGGAAATAAATCCTACAGGATGTAGCACAAAGCAGTATGAATGGATATCTGATAAGAACTGCTTTGATAAACAATGACTACCCCAACCACAGAAGGCATTTCGAACATTTTAAAAAGAAAATTTGTTTTTCTTCTATGATTCCATGATTCTACATTTATTTATGACTGAAAGTACCCACCCCATTGATCTTGCAGTCCTCCAGTGATAAATGAATTTCCCTCTACAAGCAAATTCAGCACCACCTGCAGTACCAGTGTCTCCCTGATAGCATCCAGAATCTTTGCTTACATCCTGAAAGCCTGAGACTGCTATAGTTGTGACAGGTATCAACACAGAGCCCATCTTCTACCGTCAATGATCTGTCCTTGCACACCATTTGCTGTTTCTCAGTTTTTTGGTAGATGCCAGATGGCAAATTTTGGAGCTAGACTAAGTTGCTTTGCACGTGTGACCTGAAAGCAGCAATGCATAATGAGTGTCACTGGGGGCAGAGCTGGTTATGGGATCCTAAAATCCCTTCCAATTCTCTCCTGAATAGTTAAGTGGCTTAAATACTAAGGTTTGGGCTTTCATCCAGAGTCAGGCAGGCACATTTGATGGGGAAAAGAAGGTTTTGAAGGGGCTCTGAGACCAGTTCCTGTAGAAGTCTAAAATAAGCTGATGGCTGATCTGTGGAAGAGATCCCCTCTTAATCCTTTTCCTTATCAGGAACAGGTTCCTTATCAGCTAGCTCTCTGCAGTGAAATAAGCAGAAAGAGGAGAGAGATCAATCCAGGCTTGAAATAAATCTAGTCCACCATAGCTCTGCAGTCCTCTGTAGAGTCCAACCTGCACCTTCCTCCAAGCTCTTTGTAAGCCCACCTTGGTCCTCTGTTTTTCTCCTCAGTATTTGGTCAGAAAACCAATTTTGCATTTGCCATGACATTTTACTAGCCACACAACTTCTGAGCTTGACTGTGCTGTCCTTGGCATTTAGCATGTCCACGCTAGGGCTACTTTTAAAAATGAACTATACCAGAAAATGCTGTTTATTCTATAATATCTTTTCAGCTTACATCATTCCACCTGCCTATCCAGAGGGACACAGAGATGTATGACACCCTGCAACGATCTTGGCTGTCCTTATGTTAGAAGATGTGAAACTTCAGTGAGTGGTGCGATAGCAGGTTGGACCACTCCCAGTGGGACAATATTCCCTTTCGAGCATGGGAGAAAATTGCAGTCACGCAACTTTCTGGTATGCCAGGATGGTATGACTAAGAACCATCTTCTCCCTTTTGCGAACATTTTATGCATATGCATATTTAGATCTATGTGTGCATATATATCTATGTGTTCATTTATATCCATGTGTGCATATATCTATTTTTAAATTCATGTGTATGTAGAGAGTAGCTGAGCTTTATTCAGCTTGGGGTATTATAGACTCTCTCCTTCTATTAATCTTGCAGAAGGTCAATAATCAGACACTGAGCTTAGCTGCTCTAGTTTGTGTCAGATCAGAACTTCCCTTCCCTTCCCTTCCCTTCCCTTCCCTTCCCTTCCCTTCCCTTCCCTTCCCTTCCCTTCCCTTCCCTTCCCTTTTCCTCCTAAGAGGAGTTACCATCCTCTTAAGCCTCTCAGTGTTTCTGGTCTCTTTTTTTCAGCAACTCAATAGTGACCAATTAGGAAGATACCCAGCTCCCCCAAGCCTGGATATCTAATAAACCATGACCTGAAAAGTGTCCTTTGCCACAGCAGATCTTCAGCAGCACTCCTCTTTGTCCAGACTTCTATTCCAGATTATGGGAGATGGAAAGTCTTTCCAATGGCCAACATCATAAAAGGTTTCTCAGCAGGATGCACAGCATTCACTTGGAAGCCTCATTCCATTAATTCTCTTTTCACTAAAATTAGTTAGAAAGAAGCCAACAAGCTATCAGAGTGACTTTAAAGGCAACAAACGGTGTTAGTAATGAGGCAAACAAATGTCCTTGAAGCGTCTCTCATCTGCTTGTACCTTACTGTGGCTTTAGCAGAAGTCATTGTGGTTTTAATTAACACCTTTCCCTGTGCAAAGTTACCACATTTTTCTCAAAGACAGCTTTTCCCGAGTGACACTCAAATAAGAGTTTCTGGATTTTATTATGCCTTCAGAGCCTCAGTTAATCCAGGGTTTCTTCCATTTACTTGAGCAGCAAGCTATTAACACAGAACCCCTCTGAGCAGCGTGCCTGGCCATAGCCCTTATCATGTCAATGCATCCCAGATGTGTCTTGAGCACTGGGCTTCCCAGGAGATGACCACACTTACAAGCATCATCCAGTTGGCTTGCTGGATCTGTGCCCTGCATCCTCCTAAAGTGCCAGCAGCACAGAAGGGAATTTCTCCTCTGGATGTCCTAGAGAAATTTGGATAAGTGCATGAAGTTTGCAACAAATAGGAAAGATTTCAGTCTTTTGGAAAACGAGAGTGTGCTGTAAGATAGAGGTGCTGGGGCATCCTTGGTTGAACTGTGAGGGCTTTTCCTTTAAAACAAATCCTCTGTTTATCTGCCATTTCTTTAATAATTCTCCAGAGGGGATTAGACCCTTTGATCTTGGTCTTGCTGTCACCTGGGAGCTGGCTTACCCCTTATCCATTTTGGTCTGTGCTGTGGCTTTGCTGTGAAATTCATGCTGCCTCCCTGCCCTGTATTTTGGTGTGGTACGAAGGGCAGATCCTTCAACACTCCATCACAGAAAAGATGCAGAGATTTTAGTGAAGATCCAGAGGAGGCCATGAAGATGATCAGAGGACTGGAATACCTCTCCTATGAAGACAGGTTGAGTCTTGTATAGCTTGGAGAAGAAAAGGCTCTGAGGAGACCTCATTAAGGTCTTCCAATAAGTAAATGGAGCTTACACACAGGGGGGAAATAAACATTTTTAAACAGGGAAATAGTGATAGGACAGGGGGGTATGCCTTTAAACTAAAAGAAAGGAGATTTAAGCTAGATGTTAGGAGGAAATTTTTCACTGAAAGGGTGGTGAGATGCTGAAGGAGGCTGCCTAGAGAGGTAGATGCCCCATCCTTGGAGGCATTCAAGGCCAGGTTGGATGGGGCTCTGGGCAGCTTGAGCTGGTGCTTCATCTAGTGGTTGGCTTACAACAGGGGAGTTGGAACTAGATGATCTTTGAGAACCCTTCCAATCCATCATTAACACATGGGTTAGCTACAAAGGCTCTGCCAATCTATGTGAATGTACCTGCCTATTATTTACTGTCCTGCATAAAGCATATGCAGCCACTAGAAAACCAATGTTTATGGGGAAATGAATATGAAAATGATTGCTACTGTAATGCTGGAAATAAAAGACAGAGGAGGAATTTCTCTTCTAGTGTTGACATATGAGTAAATCATTATGGCTTACTGACATTTCTCATAAAGACTTTCTCCTAGGAGCCAAGGAGATCCGTCAGCATAGAACGAAGTGTGTTCAAATGAAGCATAAATCTACACTCCTGAGGAAAGTGAGAAGTGTCAGTACTTTTGGAGTCCAGGGAACGGGGGGCAATTCTGATGCAAAACCTGGGGGAGTGCATCTGGAATTATGACGCTCTCTTAACTCAGAGTAAGATCACAGGGATGTCATCATAGCACAGCATCAGTGTTCACGAAGCAGCTGTGACCCTTCTCAAAGCATGAGGTGTGTGGAAAAGGGAGAAGAATATTCTGATACTGCAGTGTGCCTGGCTTCAGCTGTGTTTCTAAAAATATGACTTACAGGTCTTTTTTGGGAGAATAACTTAAAAAAAGTTTTAAAGATGACAGTATTCAGTGAAGCTGCAGGTAGCATCCTGGTACTGGTATGGTGGGAGATAATATAGCTATAAAGTATCGCAAGCCAAAGGAAGTGGATTTAATCATAGGAAGCTCTATAATTAGAGATAAAAGAAGACCAGCCAGTTTTCCTGAAATATATTGTTCATTCATTTCTACTTAGATGCCTGAATAGTTTTTTAATCACTTACATGTGTTTATGGAACTGTCTCTACCTTCAGTAGCTTAGAGAAATAAGTTTCAACTTATTTGTCCTTACATTTTCCTAAAAAGTATGGGGAATGCAGAAAATGAATCTGCAGGAAGCCACATGTTACAAATATCAGCTTCCTCCAACTACAGAATATTTAGAATCTTGCTATCTAGAAAAGATTTAACTGCCCTGAGTCAGTAGTAAAAGTGAACGCTGCTCTCCATAGCCTCATATTAGACTCAAAAGTAGTAGAAATCATACTCTTAAGCCTGAAAAATCCAAGTTATTTTTTTATCATTCTCCAGAAGATCCTTTGGAGTTTTGCTGACATGCAAATTCTGGCACAAACATTTCAGGCCACAAAGCTGCCATCATACATCTTGTGAGACTCGGGTCTAGAATCTGTTCTTCTATTGCTTGCTTGATCAGGCATGGCTTGGGTTATTTAAGTCACTTGCCTTTGCAGTCGTAGAACAAAAGAATCTTTAAGGTTGGAAAAGACTACTGAGATCATCTAATCCAACTGCTGATCTATCACCACCATGTCCACTAAACCATGAACCTCAGTGCCACATCTCCACATTTCTTGCACATCTCCAGGGACAATGCCTCCACCAATTCCCTGAGTAATCTGTTCCAATGTCTGATCACTATTTCTGAGAATATTTTTTTTCCAAATATCCAACCTGAACCTTCCTTCTCACAACTTAACACCATTACCTCTCACCCTATTGCTGTTACTTGGGGGAAGAAGCTAATCCCCACCTCATCACAACCTCCTTTCAGGGAGTTGTAGGGAGCTGTAAGGTCTCCCCTGAGCTTCCCCACCTCCAGACTAAACAATCCTGGTTCCCTCAGCTGTTCCTCATAAGATTTGTATTCCAGACCTTTCACAGCTTCATTGCCCTTCTCTGGACATGCTCCAGTGCTTCAATGTCTTTCTTGTAGTGAGGGGCCCAAAAATGAACACAGTACTTGAGGTGCAGCTTTACCATTGCCAAGTACAGTCCATTTTTTAAGTCCAGGGAAAAGAGTCTATTCTGGTCTTATGAATAAGAGCAAAGAGCAAATGCGTTGTTAAGTCATAGAATCATAGAATCATAGAATCACAAGGTTGGAAATGACCTATAAGATCATCTAATCCAACCATCTTCACACATGTCATTCAACCTCAGGGTTAAAACCGTGCTTTACTCTGACCAGCATAGTTCTTTTTTTGTATTATTATCCTCTCCTTGCCTTTAATATCAACCACATCCTGGCATGCAACAAGTAGTTCTTGTTGATTTACATTTTTACAGAGAATCTATAGCAAAGAGTATCATCAGAGGTTTTAAAATATCCCTTAGCCTCTAATCCACATAAATGTCTAACACCACATTGCATAAGGAGACTCTGTGGGTGCAAATCTATATGATGTTCCACTCAAAAAAAAAAACCCAAAAAACAAAAAAATCCATAGTAATTATGTAAGTAACAGAAGAATTTTATACATGGGAGACCACAAGGATTTGGAGACATTTTGCATTTATTAAGGCAATTCTCTTAAAGTCCCTCCCGAGGAAATTAAATGTGGAAGAGAGAAAAGCCAAATGCTTGTCAGTTTGACTGTTGAGGCTTCAGTTCTTCTGCATTTAAAAACAAAACAAAACAAAACAACGACAACAACAAAAAAACCCCACCACATTTAAATTAAAATAATTTCTGTTAAGGTATGCCAGCAGAAGACCAAATCTTGGCCTGAGATTTATCTAGATGAATGCACTCAAAGAAACTACTCAATATGGCATGAGAAACTGCTGAATATAACAAATGAACAGAATGAGAGTCTGACAAAAGCTACAGATAGTGCCATGAGGAATGGACAGATTTCACAGATGTTTAAGGAGGAGTTTTGTGAGAGACAGCCAAAATTCACAGTTAATTAAAGAGAGCACTGGGGACCTTTTTGAAGTGGAATTTTGCAAGGCCACCAGTGCTGCAGTAATTGCTTCAAAAATACCAAATTTGGGAGGTATGTAGCAGGACTGATGGAGAGAAAAGTAATTGGGGTGGTTATTTCATAGAATCATAGAATAGACTGAATTGGAAGATGACCCATGAGAATCATCAAATCCAACTCCTATTTATCAGGGAGAAAACCAGGGCAGAGAAAGGCAGGTATGAAAGGGAAGGACAGTGAAGAAGCAGCATGGGGAAATGGAGAGAAAGAAAGATAGAAAGAACTAGCTGAGTCCAAAAAAATCTTTTTTTTTTGTCCATTGTCTGACATCCATCACAGTTTGATCTTACCAAGTCCCTTTCCTGACTATTTTCTGTCTGAGCATACAACTTGTTATATGTGGACAGTTTGCTAAATGTCATGCTGGGCTGTCTGGCAGTTGAGTGAGAGGTCTGGGTGCCAGGAATGGGAGAAGAAACACAAAAGCCATGTACCCTAGGTGCACCACAGGAATTGTGAAGGGTGAGTGTCTTAATCTAATCTGAGTGGCATTGATCCCTGTCTAGACCATGGATAATTAATGCATGGAGTTACCGGAACACAGAGATGATTCTTCTGGATAGATGTCATTATCTGCTTTAAGATGTGATGAATGATACCTTAAGTTCTGTAGGCATCACTATAATGTTTTCCATGGTGTCAGGTCAGAAAGTATTTTCTGTTGGTATTTTACACATGGTCGTGAAGGTTCAACTAGATGATCTTCATTACCCAAGGGAAATCCAGTGGAAAACTGAGTCCTAGAGGATTGTCTGGAATGGTCAGGGAAGGTTTGTCTTTCTCCTTACCACTGAACGAACCATTGTTTTTCCATCTCCATTCCCATTCTGCATCCTACATAGGGCACAGTGAAATTCTCTATTTATTTTGCATACCTCAAGATGTCCACCCAATGCAAAGCAATATCATGTGAACTTACCAGCTCCAGTGTACTCCATGACAGCGTAGACCATTATTAGATCTGAGCTGGCCAGCTCTGTTCCATTCCTGACAAGATGCTCATCTAGATAACAGTGGTGATGAGTTGATAGTTGGACTAGATGATCTTAGCGTTCTTTTCCAATCTTAAGGATTCCATGATTCTATGATTCTCTAAGGCCAGAAGTACATTTTTGAAAAATTTCCCCTGAGGACAAGATCTCCCCTTTAACTACAGACTGATTTGAGTCCTGAGTATACTTGTATACATCCTTTTTAAAAATCTCTCATTCTGCTAAAGGGAGAGGGATTGCTTTTATGATTCTTGCATCACTGGGGCATACTGTACTGCCTACACAGTTAAAAGGTGCACATATTTTTAAGCAGGAGCTTGGCTCACTTCTACTTACAAGTTTGCATGATAATGCAACTGTTAGTTATTTTCTCAA